TCTTTGGAATGGATAGACCTTGAAGGAGCACCTCTTGATTAGCCACCTTGAACTTCATTTGTAATTTATCGAAGTCCCACAAAATGGGTACTAATGTTCGCAACCACTATGTACCTAAGACAATATCATATCCTTCTAAGGGAAGTAAATAAAAATCCACATCAATAGGTACTCCCTGCAAATTTAATTTGACATTAGTGCAAATACCAGGATTGGACTGGTCAATCCTTCGCCTAAAGCCACCATGACTTCAAATCATCCTCCTTCCTTGGGTGTTAACCCCATTTTCTGCGCAAGGATTTCACTCATAAAATTATAAGTGCTACCTGAATATACTAAAACTATAGTAGATGTATGGCCAATGTCTCCTTTAACGCGCATTGTTTCTGCCGCATTCGTGTCAGCAATAGCATGGAGGGAGATTTCTGGCATCGCTTTAGCATCTTCGTTAATAGCTTCCTCTTCATCCATTACAACATCTTCATCTTCTTCCTCATTACAAACTTCAATTAGGAATAATTTCTTGCACTGATGCCCTGGAACGAATTTTTTATTACAATTGTAGCACAACCCCTTAACATGTCGCTCTTGTATTTCAGCTTGTGATAATCGCCGAACTGGAGGAGTAGAGTGGCTGGTTGTCATCTCCTTGGTGGTGAAAAGATTTTTTTTGACTCCCCTGCTGGTGTAGATCGCCGTTGTGATAAAGTTCGAGCTTCATATAAATGAGCTAGGCCAATGGCATCTGATAGGGACGTAGGACGCCCAGCCAATACATCAGCCTTTATATTTTCTTTCAAGCCACTAATGAAACAACTCATTTGGTGAGCTTGGGGAAGGAACCCTACCTTGGATAATAACTTCTCAAATTGTGTTTGATAGTCTCGTACAGAACCAAGTTGCTGTAACTTGGTTAGTTCGCCAAAGAAGTCTTGGAATTGAGTGGGCCCATAACGAACATGTAACCCATCGCGAAATTCTTGCTAAGTCACCATAGCCCCTTATTGTTTCAGCATCTGGAACCATAACTGGGCATCTCCCTCCAAATGGAAGGATGCAAGTGCCACACGTTCTTCTTTGGGAGTTTGATGAAATTCAAAAAATTGCTTCACCCTACAAATCCAACTTGTTGTGTCTTCTTCGCCTTTGAAACGAGGAAAATCAAGTTTAACAATCTTAGGAAGATAAGACTGTTGTGATCCATTTTGTTGAGTTCCATTGCCATTGTTAAGTCGATTTCTAGAGTTTTGAAGTACAGCTACTGAGTGCTCTCCTTCATCACGGTCAAGGTTGGGTCGCGAATTGAGCTTTTCGAAAAGCTTAGAAAGCTTCTCCATAATTTTTTGTTGGCCAGTGGTGAGAGATCCTATGTCTGCCTCTAATTTATCCACCCGTGTGTCCATGCCCTTGCTCTGATACCATTGTGGGACGTACTAAGGAGAAATCCTCTTTTGTTTATTGGAACCTATGATGCAATCTAAGAAAAAGAATTTACGGTTAATTGAGGAACCGATACCTCTGATACAACTCAAGGTTGAACAATGGATAAACATACTTTATTCATGATTCCTTCAACTTAAATAGAAGCTACTTACAACAGAAAATCAGTAACAGTAGGACTCTACCAACTAACATAGAGAATTAAGAGGACTCTACCAACAAAATAGCAAAAGAAGTTAACTTGCAATTAATTCAGGAGAAGACTATTTCTTTCCTATTTATTAGGCCTCAACCAACTAACAAAGATGCCATGAGCTGGAAGAATATAATGACAAATATAATAAAAGGAAATACGTAACATAATGATATGCCGTGTTTGGATTTTTCAAATAGTAGAGATAGAGGTGATTGGTGAGGCTGAAATGATTTGCCTTAAAAATATACTCCGTTTTTTTTATTTTTTGGTGGCCCATCAAATTTTGAGGCCCCATAAATTTTGAAGCCTTAGGCGATCGCCTTTATCAACTTGTGTCAGGTTCGGACCTGGGCTTATTTGGCTTGGACCTTTATTTTAGTATGGCGACTGAGTTGACTTGGGTGGGCTAATTCTATTAATATTTTTTTTAATTTTTTTTTTTTTTTTTTTTTGAGAACTTAATATTTTGCACCATGACTAAATTTTGTTTTTGTTTTCCTAAGGCAATATGGCATCAGAGTACTTTTATTTGCAACATTTTTAAAAATAATATTTGGGGTTTATGTTAGAAAAAAAAAATAAAAATAAAAAACAAACAAACATGTGTGGATGTATTGATGAATTGAGTGTGATTAAATTCAATTATATATTTCAATATCATTGAACATGCTTAAATTCGAAGCCATTTTAAATATGAATAATCTAGGGAATTATTGTCAAGAAAAATTAGAATAAATTTTTATTTTTATTTTTTTGAAAAAGAGGAAAAAAGAGAGCTAGAATTCAGGATGGATGTTGACTTTTTTCCCTTTGATTATATGCAATGGAAATGTCAAATGCCCAGACGAGCACCATGTGGAGGTGTGTTCCTGGGCCCTAAGAAACAATCTGACACGTGTCAAACGATCGTGCATTGGACAATCACTGTCCAAAGGATTTTCTAATTATACAGTGTATGCGTGAGCAGGGAGATTCTATGCTCAACTATTCTGGACCATCTGATTGTGTATGTATTTTTACTGAGGAACTTTATGGTGTTTTCCCACGGTAGAAGAAAAAAGAGATGGTCTAAAATTAAGAAATTATTATATGGTATCAGCAATTATAAACCCCAAAGGTAAATAAAAAATTAAATTGTGTGATTGTCGTTGATCATATATTTTTAAACCAGAAAATTTTGTTGTGCAACAAGCGTATTTAACCGTTTATTATGTACACGGGTTCGCGTATTACATGTACGGTCCAAATGAGTCCGTTGTCGTGTAATACATTGACGGTCCGAATGCAGTAGTTGCACAGTTTAATAGACCAATTTTTTTTATTTTTTATATTACACTATATATTAATTTTTTTCAAAAATTTCCTTTTTTGCAATCTGTCATGTGGGCCCATCCTTGTAAAAAAACAGGCACATGCCTTCACTCTGAGTATCGATTGCACTCCTTTGAATTACAATTATATATGGTTTGGTGTTAAATTTTTTTTTTTTCAATTATATATGTACTGTATGGGTGTGTTTCTCATTTAAGATGTCTAATACAATTTTTTAAAGTTATTTATTTATTTATTTATTTTTATTTTATCTTGAGACAAAACTCACCCACTTTATTTTTAAATAAAAGTATACTATAACTATTGATTGTTTTTTTTTAACGGTTACACACCCCACTTAAAAACATAAAATAGGAAGTGCTCATAATTTCTTATTTTTTATTGTAAAATGAGAAATTATTTGATGCGATAGTATTTCAATTTCTAATAATCCATGAGACTGGCCTCAAGAAAAATTGGACTTACGACTCAACTATTTTATTAGATTTTTTAAATTATTTTTATTTTTATTTTTTAAAAGGTTTTTAATTAGAGACCTTCTATCCGTACCAGTCCTATGATATAAGTGAGATTTAAGTCACAGATTTACACTGCAGAGGGGATTCGAATTCACAGTCGAAACATTGGATACAATTCATTCAGACACTAAAATCTATATGATTTATACCAACACCAAAAATTCATCCTACCATCCAACTGTACTGCAGTCGTAAGGGCTATTTTATTAAACTTGGCCTTTAATATTTTTCTGAACCTTGTCTTTGCAGTCAACCTAATAAGTATGGTACAGATCAAGTGAGGTTTTTCAAACCCAGTTTCAGCAAAATCAAAAGACTTGGCCATAAAATTTTATAAGATATGTATTGTCCAATGAAATTTCACCACAGACTGAGCTGGTTTGAGATTACTTTTCAATCCTTTAAAAATGCTTTAAGTTTTTTTTTAAAAAATATTTACATTTGTTTAGTAACGACTTTTAAAACTATCAATTTTAGGAGTTTTTCAATAAAACTAAAATTTATAGTTTTAAAACCGTGTTTTTAGCATTTGTTTTATATTTTAGGTAACTATTTTTCTTTACACAATTTTATCTTTTATTTTTTATTTTTTAATTTCTCTTATAAAAACAATCTCACCCTTTATTTTATAACATAAAAGTGTTATTATCAAATACAGTAACATTCTATTAAATGATATTATTGAAAAGTTAGCAATAAATATGTGTGGAGGGAAAAATTTCCCTCCAATAAGAATGAGACACGTCACCACTATACAAATCTGCATTTTGGAGATCTCAGAAGCCCATCCAGATCAAGCCCAAGTTACGTTATGCTTTAACCCATTATCATTTATGTTGGGCCTCCGAAGCCAGACAAAAGTACCGATCAGCCCAACATCACCGCTGTTGGAGTTTTGATCCATTAGTCAAGTCACTTACACCAAATCACATCCGGCCCAAGTATAACTAAATATGGGTCAGTCCTATTTAACAAAGGAGTCAACTTGGATGGAAAGTTTTTATACAAAGCAAATTCTACATAGGAAATACCATACAATGGAAAGAACTCTATTTGTAAAGAAAGTCATATATGGAAAGAATTGAAGGATAAGCAACGCGAGTCCAACCATAATTCTACCAACTTTTGTGTATAAATAGAGGTCAAGACCTCCAATAAAAGGGCAAGCAATTCAATTCTTCAATAGACACTGCTCTTGTTTATTCTGATTGTTTGTTGAGTGTGTTGTATTATTTTCTCTCGATCGTAATTGGTTGGACGAAATTTTGCACCTACACTTTGGCGCCGTATATGGGAATCGTGTGTAAATATATTCCCACTCTTGTTTCACAGGTGAAACCTGCAACTACCATCCAGAATGTCGAACGGAGGATCTTCAACGGATCAACAGACGGAGTTGATGCAGAAGATGTGTGAAGAGTTTCTACACTAGTTTGATGTACTTCGTCAGGCAAACGAAGCAAGCGTGTCAGATCTCCTCGTTTCTACAGCAAAATAACACTCTGCAAACGGCGATGGCTCAGTTGGCACCACTGCCACCGGTGGGTGACACAGCAGCACCCCCTAATCAGAATATTCCTCCGATTACCGGACTTCCGCCTAATGGGGCTCCACTTAATGGGGCACGACCTAATGTGGCTCAGCCGAATGAGGTTCAGCAACAACGGAGGGCAAGATCCGAGGTTGCGGCTTTAGATAACGTCCCTCGTCGCACACAGGATGAGCAAGTCGAATCCAACCATAAGCTCACGGTGTGGTCCAATGGAATCCTAGATGGTGCAGGTGTTCTGGATGCCTTTGATGAGAAAAGACTCCTGAAGATTCAGACACCTGCCGAGATGGCTAGAGAACACAAAAATTCCTTGGTCAAAACTCCTTTCACTGACGATGTGTATCTGGTTGAGAGGCCCAAGAAATTTACCATGCCTTCTTTCACCCAGTTTGATGGAATGGGGGATCCTTCTCGGCACCTAGATCATTACGCTCAAAAGATGGCTTTGGATGATCGTAATGACCCTTGGATGTGCAGAGTTTTTCCTACCAGTTTGACAGGAGCAACACTAGAGTGGTTCAGGAATATACCGCATAAGTCCATCTCGGATTACGTAACTTTGTGCACCATGTTCATGGCACAATATTGCGGAAATAAGACGCAAAAGAAGAGCATTGCCAGCCTCTTCACCATAAGGCAAAAGAAAGGGGAAACATTGCAGGATTTCTTATCAAGATTCAACATGGAAGCCTCAGAAATAGCGGATTGTCATCCCGCAACTGCTATAGAGACATTTACATTTGCGATGATTCAGGGGACGAAGTTCCACACTTCCTTAGTCAAGTATTCTCCTCCCGACATGCAGACTCTCAATGCCAGGGCCCAGATCTACATTCGGCTTGAGGAAAATATATCCCACCGAGCGCAGCACGCCACCCTCGTGACGGTAGAGAACAAGCCTAGAGAAAGAATTCCAACTCCAAAGATTCAGAAAAGCCAACCTTCCTCAACGCCGATCACCCAGGCACCTGAAAAGAGGCAAAGAGTAGAGGAAGGATTTATACCTCTCCGAACTACTTTGGCTCGGCTCTTCCAAGAGAATAAGATGAAGTTCACAACTCCGCAGCCAATAAAACAACCCCTGGAGCAAAGGGATAAAAGCAAGCATTGCGCTTATCATCGAGATTATGGGCATTCAACCAATGATTGCAGATCCCTCAGGCGACAGGTGGAGAATATGATCGCCAGAGGTGAGTTGGCGGATTACCTTATGACAAAGGAGTATGTAAAGCCTCGCGAGGTCTATCCCCGCAAGGTGGAAGGTACGCAAGTAAAAGTCATTCATGAAATACATGGCAGGTATGAAGATGATCAAGAGTCCGAGGGGGTATACAGATCCAGACTGAGGGCAACCCACAAGCTCAGGAAGATATCCTCAGTCAATGCAATCGCTTCGGGTAGCATCAGTATTGGATTCGGAGATGGCGACCTATCCAGAGTTCAACTCCCCCACGAGGATCCATTAGTCATCAGTCTTTTAGTGGCTAGTTGTATGTCAAGAGGGTTTTGATAGATCCAGGAAGTAGCGCCAACATAATCACAAAGACTGTCTTTGAGCAGCTAGAGATCCCGTCATCATCTATTCGACCTACCTTCAGCCCGTTGATGGGATTCGATGGCACAAGAGTAGATCCCCTTGGAGTAATAGACTTGTCCGTAATCGCGGTGAAGAGGACTCTGAAGGAGAACTTTGTTTTAACAGGGATCCATCCTTCTTATAATCTCATCATGGGAGAGGCTGGATACACCGGATGAGAGGAGTTCTATCCACCCTTCACTAGGTGATGCGGTGCTTATCTCCGGACGGGAAAGAAGTGATTAATCTATAGGGCGATCAAGTCGCAGCGAAGGAATGCTATATGTTGACACAGGCTGAAGCAAAGAAGGTGTCTACTCGGCAGCAACCAGGTGTGGCTTCCAAAACTATACCCAAATAGCAATTACAGAGCCCTCTGCCCAAGTATCTTAAGGTAGAGGAGGAAGAGGAAATTGCGAAGCCCACCGAGGAGACCCTTGAAGTCGTGGAAGTTATCCTCGGCGACCCTCAGAAAGTTACTTATTTAGGCTCTTCCCCCACGTCCGAAGAAAAGGAGGCGTTAATTGATGTTATCTGGAGCAATGCAGATGCTTTTGCGTGGTATCACTCGGACATGGTAGGGATCGATCCCTTAGTTTCCTACCATAGTTTGAAGGTGGATCCGGAGTTCAAAGTGATTAAGCGGAAACACCGAAGGTTTGCCCCCGAACGCAATCACATTATAGCTAAAGAGGTGAGCAAGTTGTTGCAAGCAGGTTTCATTCGAGAAGTGTAATATCCATAGTGGCTGTCAAACGTGGTGGTCGTACAGAAGAAGAATGGAAAGTGGAGGGTTTGTGTAGACTATACAAACCTTAACAAAGCCTGCCCTAAAGATAGCTTCCCTCTGCCCAAGATAGATCAGATGGTTGATGCTACCACCGGCTACGAGAGGCTGACATTCCTTGATGCATACTCGGGATACAATCAAATTCCTATGAACCCCGAAGATGAAGAAAAACGGCTTTCATTACAGAAAAGGGGACTTATTGTTACAGGGTTATGCCCTTCGGACTGAAGAATGCTGAAGCTACTTATCAACATCTTGTCAACAAGATCTTTGATAATCTATTGGGAAAGATAGTTGAAGCATATATAGATGACATGGTGGTTAAAAGTGTGAAGAAGGAAGATCATCCGAAGCATCTACATGAAGTTTTCAATACCTTGAAGAAGTACAACATGAAGCTGAATCCATCTAAGTGCTCCTTTGCGGTATCATCAGGTCAATTCCTTAGCCACATAGTGAATAAAAGAGGGATAGAGGTAAGTCTGGCTCAGGCTAAGGCCCTCATCCAGAATCAAGAACCAAAAAATCGCAAGGAGGTGCAGGTTCTTACCGGTCAGATCGCAGCCCTCAGCCGGTTTATATCCCGATTGTCAGATAAGTGCAAACCATTCTTCGATGCTATACGGTCTAAGAATAAAGATATATAGGGACCTCAGCAGCAGGAGGCCCTTAATCAGTTGAAAGGTTACATGGCCGAACCACTAATTCTATCCGCTCTAAAACCCGGGGAGGTTCTTATTATGTATTTGGCAATTTCTAACATAGCAACAAGTGCAGTATTGATTAGAAAGGAAGGAAAGAGGTAATATCCAGTCTTCTACACAAGTAAGATAATGACGGATGCAGAGACACGATATAGTAAGGCAAAGAAAATCATCTTAGCTTTGGTCTATGCCAAGAGAAAGCTTCGGCATTATTTTGAATCTCACAGCATTGTGGTACTCACCAACTATTCTATACGGGGTATACTCTCTAAGCCCGATTTATCTGGGAGAATTACCAAATGGGCTATCGAGCTTAGTTCATTTGACATAACTTATGAGTCGAAGGTATCGCACAAGGGACAAGCCGTAGCAGACTTTCTTCTCGAATATGAAGACGCTCCCGAAGAGCCGGTACACCCTGAACCACAGTGGGAGCTTCGGGTCGATGGCTCCTCGAATCAAACAAGTGCAGGGGTAGGGGTTGTAATGTCAACACCCGAAGGCACCAAGTTGCAGCAATCTATTTGCTTAAAGTTCCTGGCTATGAACAATGAGGCCAAGTACGAGGCGTCACTTGTTGGTCTTTGATTGGCCAGCAGCCTCCAGGTACATTGTTTAAAGGTTTTTAGTGACTCACAGCTTGTTATAAATCAAGTGACAGGTTAGTACCATCCCAAAGAGGAAAGAATGAAAGTATATAAAGAAGCTGTACAGAACGCTGCACGGGGATTTGATCAAATCAAATTGTGTCAGGTACCTTGTGTTGAGAATGCCGAAGCAGATCAATTGGCCACAGCAGCGTCATCCTCAAATGAAGATCTGACTCGGATTGTGCCGATTGACGTCCTGGACGAGCCCAGCGTTAATCCTTAGCAGGAAGTAATGGTGATTCCAGTTGTTCCTCGAGAACCATGCTGGATTGATCCATTGGAAGCCTGCCTCAAGCATGGAATTCTTCCAAACCAAAAGTCCGAAACACGGAAGCTCCGACTCACCGCAGCTAAATATGCCATCATTAACAATCAGTTATACCGAAAGTCATTTTCAGGTCCTTACCTGAAATGTTTAAGCCTTACTGAGGCTCTTGTGGTGTTGAAACAAGTCCATGATGGAGATTGTGGCAACCATTCTGGGGGTAGATCCCTTGCACATAAAGTTCTAACTCAAGGTTACTTCTGGCCGTACTTGGCCCGGAATGCAGAAGAGTATACTCGGAGGTGTGACAAATGTTAACGCCATGGTCCCATGAAGCATCAACCTGCCGAAGATTTGCATGCAATGGCAAATCCATGGCCATTCGCACAATGGGGGATTGATATGGTGGGCCCTTTACCCAAGACTGTGGAACAAAAGGAGTACTTGCTACTGGCTACAGATTATTTCACTAAATAGGTAGAAGCCGAGGCCTACTCAAGTGTGACCTATGAGCAGGTAAAAAGTTTCTTTTGGAATAACATCATTTGCCGGTTTGGGGTCCCAAAAGTCATTATGATGGACAATGGTAAGAACCTCGACAATAGAAGTACAAGAAAATTCTTCGTTTAGCATGGAATTGTACAAAAGCTAGCTGCAGTCAGTCATCCACAAGGGAATGGAAAGGCTGAAATAACTAATCGAACCATTTTCAGTTGTTTAAAGAAGAAGCTGGAGAAACTCAAAATGAAATGGTACGAGAATCTCCCTCGGGTGCTTTGGGCGTACCGAACCACACCACTGCGGCCCACGGGGGAGAGTCCCTTTGCCATGGTTTATGGATCTGAAATAGTGATTCCAACCAAAGTGGCGGTTCCAACCCTTTGGACATCCTTGTTACTTGAAGGAAATAATAGTCAGCAGCTCGAACATAGTCTCGATTTCCTGGATGAAAAAAGGGATGCTGCAGCAATTAGGCTTGCTTCATATCAGTAGCAGCTGCGCAACAATTATAACAAACGTGTCAGATTCTGGAGCTTTGCGGTAAACGATTGGGTTCTGAAGCAAGAGACAGCTCATGTAAAGAAACTGGAACCTAATTCGACCGGACCCTACAGGGTTACCGAAGTAGTGAGGAGGGGAGCATATCGTTTGGCCGAAGCTGACGGACGTCCCATTGCACGTCCTTGGAATGCAATACACCTTCAAAGGTATTTCCATTAGATAAGTTTTTCAATTTTATTAAGAATTCTTTATAAATAAGGCTGCGTAAGCCCACAGTCAGCTAAGCTTTTCTTTGCTTTTATTTGTTTCTTTCCATAAAAATGGGGGCCCTACCACCATTCTATGATTATGCAATTTTGCGTCGCGTTATGCATTGGTAATTTTTATTCAAAGAAATTTTCATACTACATTGTGATTATGCAAATTTATGCTTTTATGCAAAGCAATGCTAGAAGCAAGTTATTAAAAAGCATGCGTTTTGACCTATGGTTAAAACTCTCTGTCCCACATCGACAAAAAAGTATGAGTTGCATCCTGTTATATATGGGAATATTTAAATAGTTGATTGCGGTGTAAGGAAGGCCCACTGGTATTAAAGGCTGTCAAGCTCAATATCAGAGGCATTCCTTACACCGACCTTTTTTGACAAAATATAGTTTATGTCCCACATCGAATAAAAATAGAAAGGAAATGTGGTTGATATATGCGTAGTCCATTACATATGGTTGCCAAGAAGGGAGTATTAATGGAGGAAAGTCTCCAAAATAAACAAATAGGAAACTTCCCAGCCATTGTTACTCGCTTTCTTGGCCTCTTATCATTTTTGAATCCTTGGCAAGTTGTTTGAAAATAAAAAAAAAATAAAAAAACAACGAAGAGAAGAATATATATATATATATATATATATATATATATGCAAACTTCTTTTTAGTCCCAACGCCGAGGAGAAACCAACCCGCCTCGGATCCTAAGTGTCCGGCTCGGCAAAACCTCGCCTCGGACCCTAAGTGTCAGGCTCAGCAAAACCTCCTTTAGGCTCAGCGCCGGGGAGTAATTCATTCACCTCGGACCCTAAATGTCTGGCTCAGCAAAACCTCTCTCAGGCTCAGCGCCGGGGAGTAATTCATTCGCTTCGGACCCTAAGTGTCCGGCTCAGCAAAACCTCGCCTCAGACCCTAAGTGTCCGGCTCAGCAAAACCTCCCTAAGGCTCAGCGCCGGGGAGTAATTCATTCACCTCGGACCCTAAGTGTCTGGCTCAGCAAAACCTCTCTCAGGCTCAGCACCGGGGAGTAATTCATTCGCCTCGGACCCTAAGTGTCCGACTCGGCAAAACCTCACTTCGGACCTTAAGTGTCTGGCTCAGCACAACCTCCCTCAGGCTCAGTGCCGGGGAGTAATTCATTCGCCTTGGACACTAAGTGTCTGGCTCGGAAAACCTTTTATTTATTTTGCTTTGGACTAAAACAAATAAGGAACCTTAAGGCAGGGTACTTTCCTTAAAAAAATAAAAATAAAAAATAAAATAAAAATCTTTCATCCAACAGAATGTGTGCAATATCAGAAGCATACAGGCATACTCAGTCGAAGCAGAATAAAAGTAACACAGCTTAAGAAACAAGGTTATATCATTCATATTTATCATTCTCAATATTGTTTCATTAAAAAAGAAAAAAAGAAAAAAAGTTGCTCGATCCTACTTCCTCTTTGGATCAAACGGGGCAGATTCGAAAGCGTCTACCACTGCTGGACTTACATGTGGAGGAATTG